TAGCAAGAAGAATTGCATGATAAATAAAAACATTTAATCAAAGTCAATTTTATTTTTCATATTCAAATGGACTGAGTGTTAACATTTAACATTTTTTGCTAATTGTCGTCAAAAATTAGGCGTAAAGCAAAAATTGATATTTCATATGGTTTTATGATAGATAAGCATTATATTCCCACTCATTATATTCGTAAATTTTGAGGTTTATCCTTCGCTTTTAAGATCATTGAATTTGATTTTTATATAAAATAGTTATATATTAGAAAATAATATGAGTTTATGTGATATTATTTTTCAGAAGATTTTGTGTTCTTCTTCAAAATTTTATTTTTTTATTAAAAAGAATCTTTACAAAATATACATTTACTTTAATTAATATTTAAAAACGTGCTCTATCAAAAGTTCCAAAAATTCAATATTTTAGCTTTTCTGAGGTGTCACTTTTGATGAATTTCTGTTTACAACAATATAATAATAATATTTGATAAAAAGATATATTATTTATATTTTTGATTTTTGAATTACGGAAAAAGTGAATTGATAACTTGATTTTTTTATATGGTTAATTTTTCAAATGATATATTGAAGATCTAAAATATTAAAAGTAAAAAATTGAATTACGGAAAAAGTGAGGTCAAAAGTGAAATAAATTTGCAGAACAATTTTCATTGAAATAAGCTTTATTTTTCATTATTAATAACAATGCAAAAAAATATTTATCACGGGTTCAAAATTTAAAATTAAATATTTTAATAATTTACATCTTATTCTTTATTTTATATTTAACCCGTGAAAATATCATTTAAAAATTGAATATATTCAAAAAGCTTTATTTTTATTATGACTGCATGGGATCCTCATGTATATGATGAGTGGATTCCATTTAAGAAGACGAAATATCCACCAACTCCTGAAACATTGGAAACAAAGTGTGGAAAAAATGTTTCACTACGATCGGCTATTATGAGAATGAGCCTAATCAATCAGACAAAGGAAGGCTCTTTACATACTGTGCCGAATGTAGTGAAACATTAGTTCAAGGGCAGTTCGTGCGATGCATTAAAAAAAGCAGGAAAAATGATTTTAAAGATCATAAGTGCAAATTTTTACTCCCAATGCCCAACTACGTTCCTGCTGAGCACCAAGTTGAGAATACTCAGCAAGCAGTTGGCTCTGGTAATGATCCTTCGTTAGAAGAGATCATTGCCAGGCTTATTGCGAGCCTAGATATAAGCCTTTATGCCACAATGAAGCCAGCATTTAAAAGCTTCCTAGAGAGCTTCGCCAAATGGCTTAAAAATAAAGTCAATCGCGAACAGGGCATCAACTTTACAATCCCAGACATTGAGTTCACACGGCGCGGTGTCAGAGAGGCATTGATTACTTTAGGCAAAACAGACTCCTCTCGGGGCCTAAAGTTCTGCGAGGAATTCCGCATCTTCTCAATTTCCCTGGACTGCGGAACACACGGCAGCCGTCATGGTCTATTCTCTTGTGTGTGCAATCCAGGCAAAACAGATCGCCACCAATTCTTCGACACAACAATTTCGACTAATTGGACATACGAGGACTACCATACGTGGTTTGATTCTCTTAAGGTTAATAAAAACCACGTAGCTGGAGTAGTCGGAGATGGTTTGCCAGCCCAGGTTAAAGGACTCTGCCACTGGAGGCCAGAAGGAGCCCTTTTCCCTGGCTTACAAACCGTGTACATTCGTTGCCTTAACCACGTCTTGAACAATGCTATTGTCCACGCACGTAAGCAATGTCCATTGTTGAATGAACTGATGAATAGAGTTCACCAGATTATCATTATCTTTAAGAATCACGATATGAGAGCGAGATACAAGATCAGGGTTCCATCAATCCCGGAAACTCGCTGGCTCTACATATATGATACTCTGTTTTTCATCTTTGATAATCTGGAAACAATTAATACTGCTTTAAGAAGTGGAGATCTTCCACTATCCCTTTCCAGAGCTACACGTGAACAGTTACAATGGACACGTGATGGAATTCCTCCACTCTTTAAAGATGCTTTAATGATATTCAAGCCATTAAAGCAACTTCAATTATGGCTGGAATCCAACAAGTCCATGGGTGCTTATGCATTCCTGATGATACAACAGTGCCAAGGGATGTTGGATGAAATGGCAGGAAGATTAACGCCAGATGGTGAAGAGATTCTCCGATCAATCACTACAATATTCAAAAATGATATGAAAGAATATGGTAGAATTGATTTGCTTCGGTTTGCTTTCGGCTTTACACCGTTAGCAAGGAAGATCATCAGAGACAAGAAGGGTTTTGGAGGAAAGACAAGCTATCCACCTATAATGCAGTTGAAAGATGTGCAAGTCCCAACGATTCCTTCCCTGAGGATCATCAATCGCGAGATCACATTTGAGAAACTCGGCGAAATCCTTGAAGAAGAACGAACAGAACGTGTTGACGAGGTAGCCGAGCATGATGAAGAGATCCAGCAAGCAGAAGAGGAACAAATGCTTAACGACGATCATGCAGCCGAAACAAATGCCGATGGTTCGAGGAATTCCTTGGTCTGGGATGTTGTAGATGAAGAGATAAAAGATCTATACACATTCATGATAACAATCCTCAGACAAAGAGCAATTGCCGAATCAACAGTTGATCCAACGATCAATAAAGACGATAGAGCCAAGGAATTGAGTGATGCTTACGATTTCTTCATAGAGCAAGATGATTCCCATCTTATAAATGGTCATCATCTTGCTCAAAATGATGGCAAGTTTTGGTACATGAATGGCATAAAGCAACTAAAAGCAATAAGACCAATTGGAAAAAGGATGATGTCACTTTCGTGCAGTGAAGCAGATGTAGAACGTGTAATATCTGAATTGCGAAAGACAAGAAATTCAATGAACGAATCATGCAAAGAAGAATATGTAGCATGCCGCTTCTTCATCAAGTTGAATGATGATCAATTTGATATTTGATTTTGTTTTTTAATAAAATTTATTAAATAATTTGTTTTAAAAAGTATTATTTTTATTCGTAAAGATATTAGACAGAAGGTGGCCAGCCTAATGTCTATCAATCTTTAATATTAGTAGTAATTTCCCGCATTTCTGAATGATGATTGATTAGCTTTGTTGTTATTGATGTAAAACTGGATAAGTATTAAATAATTATATTAATCTTGGCCAGGAGACTGCTGATGGCCAGTCAGCAGCGGCCACTATGAATCATTATAATTATTTAATACCTAAATTGAGGTAAAAAGCAATAAGACTTGCCGAGCCTCATGCCCCTACCTCATATAAATAGAATCACACTTTAGTGAATCAACATCTATAAGAATGAAGTGTTTTGAAGCTGAAATAATATTGAATAGAAATTAATTTTTTCTGAAATTTTGAATGAAATTATGGGAAATAAAAAAATTACTAAATATTGTATTCATACAAATATATTATTTTAAAGGAAAAATAGATGCTGATAGAAACGATGAAAATTTTTGAAAACTTTACAATTAATTTATGTTCGTTAACCACAGAGCTTGCAATCCAAAGCTCACGTTAGACAACAAGAGTCATGAAGTCTCATACTAAGGGATATCCAACATATATTTTAATAATCTAATGTTTGTGACAAATATTCAACATAAAATTAAGTTTTCGTTTCGTTACAAGGCATTCATACTTTGGAAATATCATATTTAATGTACAGAAAAGTTAATATTAAACAATACATGCTAAAGAATTAATAAATAAGATAATAAAATAAATTTATATGTAATTACTTTCATTTAATATGCTTTATGCTGTATAATATTGATTAAGAGGCATTAAAAGGTTCCATAGTCTGCTTTTATAGGCAAGATTTTTGATAAAAATTTTAAATTTTGAAAAATGATGAGAAAAGGAAAAAAAGGTAAATGAGAGCAAGAGGAGGGAAAAAAAGAAAAAGAAAAGAAAGGGAAGGGAAAAATAGAAGAAAGAAGGACATATAAAAATTTAGATGCGCATTCTTAATGCCGAGGCGGCTTGCCGCCGAGGCGCGATTTTTTTAGGCCTCTACGGTAACCCGGCAATGTTTTTTTAAATCTTGTACAGCTCTACATGTGTCTAATATACTTTAAAACCATCGTGACAAAATTCAAAAACGAAGAGTTCTTCTCTCCAAATTTTTTTCAAAATCAAAAAAATGAGATAAAAAAGTACGTTTGGAAAATTCATTTTTAGCATTTTAGGAATTTTCTCACTTTTCTTCCAAATTGACATCCTTAAAATATATGAATAGATAAAATTTTCCTTTCAATTTTACGAACCAAATTTATTACCATATCCTAAATTTTTTCTATGTTTATAGACCTTTGGAACTTTGTATGAAGTCTAAATATACATGTAGAGTATTCAAACAAAACAAATATCAAAATCTAAACCTTTGAATTACCTTCAATGCTTAACCGAATTACTAGATCTTATATATATGTGTGTACTAATACCTTTTGATGCATAAAAAACTCCAAAAGAGTTTCATTTTTAAAATAGTCGATATCAATTCAAAAAATTGAAACTATACCGTCAACTGTCAATTTTTCAATAGTTCGTTTTTTTAAATGTAATTGCTTTTTTTATATGCATTAATCATTTGATAGTAGTGGGATCAAATTACATATCTTAAAAATGTATTCCGAGTGGAAAAAAAATCAATAGAATTGACCACAGATATCTGTTTAATCCAAAAATATTATTAGAATCATATTTAATAAAAATGCTATGCTTTTCGAAATAAACGGAAGAATAAACGCACTGTTTCAAACCGTCAAAATTGAATTTGTGTCAAATATCTTGAATTTACAATTTTAGCTATTTAGATAATTAGAGAAGCATTTGATCAATTTTTGTGTTAAACAACTATTTTTCGAATTTCTGAGATATGAAAATTAATTCACTAACTTCTTAAAAACATGAATTGAATGAAAACTCTTAGAAGAAATGTTCATATCACTTTCATTAATGGAGTACAAGGATGATTCCGAGTTCTTGGATGATATCCAGAAGTCCAAAACCCGATCCAAGGAAATCGTGAGAATGCAAATGCACTTAGCTTATCGTGATGAATCAGAGCCCGCAAGTGAAGATGAAAATCAAGCACCAGCTAATGCCGAAGAATTTAAAGTTGTCAGAAAGTTTAGCTTACAAAAATTCCTTGAGGCACACCCAATCTTAAATGTCAAAGACCTTTGTAACTTTTCTTTGGATCAACTCTTGTATTTAGTTGATGTTGTTCGCGAGCATGAGTTTTCATCCAGACGCGGTCGGAAAAACGGTTGTGATCCATTAGATGCGTTATTCCTAACATTAACTTACTATTGCACTTATCTTCCATTGCAAAAAATGTCAGGAATTGTTAGTTTGAAACAGAGTTACCTCAGCAAAATCATTAACAAAACAACAAACAGGATGTTCCCAATTTTCATTGCTGAATTCATTCCAAAACAATATTCTCCCTGTGACAAGGAGTTCGATAACTTTCCAACATGTGTTGCTGCAGTTGATAGCTCTACTATTCCTTTTACCGTTCCTCTTGATCTTGCTGAGCGTAAAAGTTCATGGGATGCTAAAAACCATTGCAATGGTATGAAGGTTCAAGTTCTTGTTAATCCTTTAGGACAGGTAATTCACATGAATACAAGTTTTTTAGCTTCAGTTCACGATAAGAAAGTATTTGATTTATCAGGAGCTTCAGATTTTTTACATGTCCAACGTGGAGTTGAATCTGTTGCATTAGGACTTCTTGCAGATAGAGGTTACATCGGTATTCAGAAATACCATCCAACAGCCGTCATTATGCAAAGAGGTGATGACGAAGAAGTTACAAAACGCAATAATGCGATTGCACATGATCGCCAAATTGTCGAACGCCGCTTTGCACGCGATAAAAGTAATTGGAGTGTCTTGGCAATAGGATATCGTGGTGAAAAAGGCAATCTTCCACTTATTGTTCAAGGATTGTTTGCTTTAGATAACTATCACATCGATTCCACACCTCTCAGTGAGAAGGATAACTGCGATTTTCCTTGCACTCCAAAAGATGAAAAAGAAGCTGCAGCAACACCAGAACCAAATGGTTCAGGAAGCCCAATGCCAAAGCCAAGATGTGTTCCAAAAGATCTTTATCTCCAAACTCCAGAAACTCCAATGAAGATTCCATCTCCACTAGCTGGATATGAAAAGATTGATAAGATACTTGTTAAAAGAACACAAAATGCAATCTACAACATCGAAACAAAAATGTCAATTCCAGGATTACATAATGAGGGAGCTACCTGCCATGTCAATGCCGTTTTGCAAGTTTTGTTCTACGTAAATACTTTCAGAAAAGATGTAATGGAGCATTTGGGAGATGTCGAATATACGCCAGTGAAAGCACTTGCCGAAATTTATGATCAGATGTTGCACTACCGCCACAAGGAATACACAATTTCATGCTCACAATTCATCACAACACTCGGCAAGCAATACTTCCAGCAGCAAGATGCCGATGACACATTTCAAAAGATTGTACATGATGTTACGGAATCAGCAAACAAACCAGATATTGCCGTTACATTCCAATATCAAACTGAGACTCCTGATGAAAGCTTCTATTCGGTTTCGCTTCACATTCCTCTTGGTGCAGCAGGTATTGATCAAGGAATTAAACAAATGTGCACAGATGATTCTCATATCAATGAAATCTCAACATTCCTCTGGGTCGACGTTCAGAGGAATTGGTCTGATCCAAATGTCTTCTTTGACAAATTTGAGATCAAGAAGAACTACAAAACTCAACTCAGTGATGGAACGTATGTATTTAAGATACATTCCATTATTGCTTATCATCAAGGTCATTTCGTTGCCTTCGTCAACAAAGGAAGAGTTTGGTTCATGCTCGACGATGAAATTACTTACATTGTTCCTGATGGTTTGATCAAAGGTCTTCAAGGTGGAGATGTTGGCAGCGATTTGTGGTCATATCTTGGTGGTGTCAAATGGCTTGCAAAATGTGTCATCTATCGCAAACACAAGTTCTATGGAGCTGGTGATGATGATGATTGAAAACAGTTTAATTTTTTTTAATCTTATTATAAGGGATAATTCTCTAAATATATGATTTTTTCTTAAGTTAGTGAATATTTTTCTTGTGTGCTTTTACTTATTTAAGTATTTAGTATTATTACTTAAAAATTTTGAACATTTATTTTATAATATTGAGATTTAAAATAAACTATTGCTCGATCGTATCTTTATTTGCTCTTTTAATAAAAAATCTAACTTACTATTGATTAGATATTGATTTAAAAAAATAAATATAATAGCATAATAAAATTTCTTGATTTCCCCGTACAAAGATATAGCCGTAACAAGACATTAACGTTTGGAAAGTAAATTTGAAAAAAAGTATTATATTATAAAAGAAGTTACAAATTTTTAGAATATTTTTGTAAAATAAGAGCAAAAAGTAGAATGCAAACTCTTCGGGTACTAAAACCTGCCATTAAATTGAGATAAATAATAGATTTTGTAAAATTTTGTTGTAATTCTTGTATCAGTCTTGCCTTGAGTATGAGTTTGAGTCTACCCTTGTTTCCATATTGCCTATTCCTGTTTTAACGCGGCTATTCCTATTCCAGTTTTTGGTGCTTTTCTATGATAACCAAATTGATTTGGTTATCATAGAAAAGAGACCATTATAATGCTTAAAATTAATTATGTTTAGGGTCGGTTTATTGGGATAAGGAAGTTTATAATACGTGAACACTTGTTTCCTCATCGAAAAGTCATAACGCATAAAGTCGATGTTTCCTTAGTACAAAAAGTGACATATGACGCTTAAGGGTATAGTAAACTCAAAATTCTAGAGTTTTGAGAGTGCCAATAAACTCTATAGGCCTATATATCTATATATCTATATTTGAAGGAGAGGTTACGCCATAATATTTGATATTATAAATTATTAATTCAAAATAAAAGTAGAAAATGAAACTAATTTTATTCTAACCTATATAAATATATCAATAATCTAAAATGATTATAGTCTGAACTATATTTTACCAGATTATCAAATATAAGAGAAATGAAATAAGGCATAAAAATATCATAGCATAATTATTGGATAAATGCATTAATAAATTATTTATATCATAATGAGAAAAAATCAAAATAAGAAAATGAGCATAATAATAATTTAATTAAAAACAAAAACAATAAATAAAATGTAATTTTCGTTAATCAAAGTCATCAATGTCTTCGTCTTCTGATTCCCATTCGGACTTGAAAACTTGATAATCTCCTCCTGGTACACTCTGAATGGATTTTTTGTATTTGTTCTGTTTTTTAGAACCTTTTGTAACAGTTTTTTGTTTCAATATCATTTTGGAGTAACAATTCTCTTCAAATGATTTGACACAATCTTCTGGAAGTGGGGAAGATGTAATGCTTTTTGTATATCTCCGAGAAAATGCTCTGGATCATTCCATTCTAAGATTGCAACGTTAACTCTAATGTTAATGTTCTTCCAGGCTCTTGATTTGTCCAAATAGCATGCAATTTTGGAGTTAAACGCTTCATTCATGCAGGTAGATCCAATGGAAGAAACTTTGGAAACTATGGGTGTCCATTTGTGAACCCAGTCATAGAGCATGAATTGAAGTTGGATCGAATTGACACCTTTTTGCCATTCAAAGCATTTGTAATTGTGCGGTTCGCAAAAAGAATGATTGCCTACGTAATGGTAGACACAATTCTCCCACATTTTCGTACGTTTGTCAATATTTTCTTCGGCAAAACATGACCAAAGCCACATACTTAGGCTTGCATTCAGACCCCAGAAAGGTCTCTCTATTTTTTCAATCTTCTGAGTCTTGTCGTTGAAAACTTCAACTGTCTTATGAGAAGCTGAGAACTTTGTAAAATCTTTTGAGATATTTTTTGATACATGACCTGGATCGAATCTTTCAAGATGAGAGACGCCAAATTCTTTAAAGACAGAGACACTTTTGTTATCTCGGTCTTTAATAATCTCTTTAACATCTTTCAAGATATTGTATTTCTTTAATTGCTTCAAGATGATTCGAGTTCCAGCACTTTCCATATTGTTGGAAGCTCCGGAATACTGAGCATGCTGTCTGTTTCCACCAATATGGTTGATGTTCACGCATGCAAGAACTCTTTTTGTGACAGCATCGAGCGCAGTTACTGTACAACTTGGCGAGTTTCGCCTGTGCGTCCATCTTGCATCAATGGATAAGTAACCACTGAAGGACTTTCTCGACAGCATTAGGGAAATACTTTTAAGTCTTCTAATCTTATCGTCACAAAATCTCTGTTGTCTCATGACACCACTCTTCACAGGGGGCTTAGTTCCACAAAGAGAAAGAAAGCGAGCACCTTTTGTATATGGCATTCCGGTCATTATGCAAGCACCAAGCATCTGTCGCGCTGAGAGTCGACGACGTTCGTGGAGTAAAATGTTATGCATTGCCTTTGTTTTCCGTTTTGGGTGAACAATATGGCCCATACAACAAAAAAAAATGAAATCCCGCCAAAAGTGAAAATTGAATAAAAAGTAATAATTAATAAATATATACTATATCATTAGATGAATATTTTGGAATAACATTTTAAAATCGAGGTTTTTCAATGGATAACGGTTCAATCAAAAATTTGACCCCATTTTAGAATCTACATTAAAAATGGAACATTTCTGTCGTTTCAAAATTCCAAAATAACGTTTCTATTCCTCTCAAAAGTAAAAATAAACTTTATTGGGGAAAAAATATTTTTATTTTCCAAAAAAAATGAAAACCTTAAATGCAAATCTAATTTTGATGCTTTTGTTTGTGATTTTTTGGATTTCGAAAAAAATTTGAAAATTCAGACAAGTTACCATTAACACTAATACGTTTCAGCGAGTCGGTCCCATCAGAGAAATTTTCATAAATCGGCGATATAATTTATTATTTCAGCAAAATATTCTCAGATCCAACTAGAATAAGGTCAAATTATACAAATTTAGCAAAGGCTAGTTATCCTACCTATTCAATTAACTTTAATTTTAAATAATTCAAGACAATTCTCAAAATTACCTTAATAATCGCGTTCTCTTCGCAAAATGACGATTCATCATTCACTACCAGCATAACTGAGGGCTTGTGCTCACAGAATAATACAGATAATTTACTTATTAATGCAAAATTTAGTACCAAAAGGTAATCATAGAAGATACAAAAAAAGTTTCTTTATTTTGATTGCTGATTTTATTTCTTCTAAAATTTACCAAATCTAAAAAATCCAAAATTGAATGCTATTGAATTTCATGTTTATGTAACATATACTATTTATTATATAAGGAATAAAAATTTTATAGTTTTAATCAAAAATAAAGGTGTACTAAATGCATACAAAACAAGGTATTTTTTACTCATCCAAAATATGTTAACAGTGCTATTTATATAATCAATATCCGAATTTCGAAATCATTTTGATGAAATCTTTATTTTAAAATTGAGTTGACTGTTAAAATCACCCGAGAAGAGGGATTATCTCAATGAAAAGTACATAAAATAGCAAACGCACAAGATGGCACTATGCAGCTTTATATTGTTATACAGGATGAACATATAAAATGTTTGGAAAACACTTACTTCGTTCTACAAATGTGTATCTCTTTATATCAAAGATTCTTCTCAAATTATTGAGAGACTTCTCTCAAAAAAAGGAAAATTTGATAACTAAAAAAATTATGGCATAACCTCTCGTTTTGCATAGATATATATTTACATGGTCACAGAGCTTATTTTCATTGTCAAAACTTAAAAATTTTTAGTTAGCTCTTTATTCCAGATAATGACCATATTTATTAAGGGTTTCGTTTTGCTAAAATTGTCACTTTTATAGCATATTTGTTTTTGGATGTTTTGCGAAACCAAAAAAAAACTATGATATACAATGTGTGTGTAAAGAAAATACTTTATTTACTAGTTAAAAAATCATTTGGTATTGATCAAGTTATTTTTTCTGGATAAGATATTATATGGATAATTGGATAGAAAATACAATTATATAATCTTGTACCTGGTTTAATTAAGCTAATTGTCATCAGAAACTTGTAATTTTTATGAATTTCAGATTTTCTTTTCATTACTGCTTTTCTTAATAGGTCAAGTTCTTATTTACGTTATAAAGTATGATATTTACAAATATCAAGTTATCGTGTTTTTTGAGAAATTATGAGAAACAAACAAAAATGAAAAAGATAGGAATAGCAATGAATAGTGATGTGGGTATAGAAAATGTAAGAGATATGAATGCAAAGCAATCAGTATTTAGGACATTGACCATAGATTTCGAAAAAAAAATGCTGCATATTGAGCGAAAACTATGATTATATTATAAGGCTGTCATTTAAAGCATAATAAAACTATTCCCTTTTCATTTTAATCGAATAAGATAGTAAAGATTTTTGAATTAGCTAGTTAGTATACATATCATGTGTACTGAGGCACTGCGCGCCTCCGTACACCACTTAGCGGTTTTGACACTTTACGAAACCGTTAACGTATATTTTACAACACAAACGACAACACTAACTTAACCTTAAATATTTATAAAGCCGCCAACCACTTCACCTCACTAATGAAAAAATAAACGTTTTCACAAACGACTTCATTAATGTAAAAATAAACGTTCTCACTTACAAAAGTATTGCAACTCCTCCCATTGCTGTGCTTCACATAACAGCTCATAATCTTCTGACTCACTTTCTTCTTCATATAGGTCAAAATCACTGTCAAAATAAATGTTAGTAAGTTTTGACAAAGCTAATGAAACACGTTTACCGTTTGTATCGTATGCTTGTATAAACTTTCCATTCTTCATTCCTTCATAAACGCTCAAACTAACTTTACCCTTTCTCCCTCGTATCTGATAGAATGTATTTTCACGAGGAACGAAGAACAAATTCTTGAACTCATGACCGTTGTAGTTTGTTATCTCAATAGTTTTCGTCATTTATATAAAAATAAACGTTCTCGCTAAATAATAAAATAAACTTAAAAATAAACGTTGTCAGAGGTGAAAAAATAATGTTTATGTTAGAATGTTAGATCTAACCCGATATCTAACCTCTTTTCTAACCTGTTGAATTCATTGCTTTATAACTCACTGTCGTCTGCTTTCTCCAACTCTTCTAACTTCTTCTTAAGTTCAGCAATGTTGTCCTCATGAAGTTTAATCTTTCTCAAAATACCTTCTCTATCTAATGGTTGCTTTATCTTTCTAAACTGAACTCTACCATCCTTCATAGTATGAATGTAAAAACCTTCTGGAATAGTTCCTGATTTAATGTATTCTACCAAAAACTTTTGTTTCATTGCTTCAGTGACTTTAGTCGTCATTTCAATCAAATAAAAATTTTAATATTAAATAAAAATAACGTTATTTTTTCAGTAAGGAAACGCAGGAGTTTTACGATTTATTTGAGGAGTAGGTTCTGGTTTAAATGTTGGAGTCGGTTTAGGAGTTGACTTTTGAACAGGAGTTTGTACTTCCATAGGTTCAGGAGTTATTGAAGGTTTTGCTTGTGAAGGCGTTGGTTTTGGCGAAGGTGTTGGAGTTTGTTTAACTTCAGCTACTTCAGTATTATTTATAACATTTGCTTTATTTCTTTTCAACATCATAACTGCTCCTGCTGTAGCTAGCAAACCTAGTGGGAGACCATATTTTATATAAGGACTTGACCAAATGCTATTTTTGACAGGAGCTGGTGGAACACCTAACCTTGGTGAGACTGCTCTTTGCCATTGTGCAGCTCGTAAGAAATATTCAATAGGTGCTCCATAATCGTTTGGTAAAGTTTGTTTCATAGATGGTGAAGGTTCACGAGAGCTTGATGAAGAACTCATTTATAAGCTTTAAAAATAAACGTTCATCCTTTATTCCTCACTGTCGTCAGTTGCTAAGTTATAGTCGTCAAGTCTTATTATTGGTATGCCTGACTGTCTTACTTGTATTGCAAAGCAACAATCCCTCATAAATCCAATAAGTGGCTTTGGTACGTTTTCAGTTGCTAGTTCAATAGGTCCTTTAACAGACAATTTGTATGTTATTGGAGCAGTAGATGTTTGACCTTGTTGGAAGCAAAAGTCCACTTCTGTTGGAAAACCACATAAGAAATGTGTGTTGTCATAGCTATCCCATTTATGTTCCACACTACCATCATCCACCAATGACCTCATAACATCTTCATTAAATCCTATCATATCATTGTTTGTATTGCAGGCGTTCGCAACCATTTCATAAAATACAGGTCCATATGATTTTTCAGGTTCTGCAGGCATATTTCCATAAGCTCCCATGGAAAGCTGAAGATATTTAAACTTAGGGTTCTCAAAATTAACATAATAGTTGTCTTTCTTTCTAAATAGTGCCCAAATACTTTTAACATTAATAGGCGTATAAGCTGCTGTAAATGTTGCACTTGAACTATCTGTATTCTTTGAGAATGAACCGTCCATAGGAATCCAATCCATAACTTAACAGGAAAACATAAAGCCTCGTTTGTATAATGTTCTACAATTCTGTATAAATGTTAGGGTCTAAAGAGAATGACTTTGGATGAATGAAACATTCATTAAAATCCATCTTTGTTCGAAATAGTTGCTGGTTTTACAGTTGTAATAGTAACTGTTCCACTAGCTTCTACTGCCTTCGTTATCATAGTGAATGGTTCATTCCATGGAACAAATTTATTTGTCGGTGGATTTGAATCTGAAGCAAATGCAACTTTAAGAGTTGGATTGAAAGCAATGATATCATTTACAGATATAGATGTGCATTGTAAGGCGTCGCTACTGAACTTTACTTTAAGCTGAATGTTACCAGCAAATGCAGGAATAAATCGAATAGCTTCTAATGGAAGGAATCTTCTAACAGGAATCTCTTAAACGAAGCTTAAAATCAAATGATTTTCCTGCTGTAATTGGACCACTAACAATTTGTCCTGTTCTGCATGTTCCCGAATGACTCCATACATCTTCATGTCGAGTCTTTGAGAAAACATCTACTTTCTTTATTTGTTCGGTAGTTTGTGAGTTTGAAGTTATATATGCTTCTTCTCTTGCGTTGTCTTGAGAATATACGATACGGACCATTTGCAAGGATTTGATATCCAGCAACTGCATAGAAAGCGTCATCGAAACCAATCCAAAATCCTGGTGGGTTTGTTTTATTGGAACCTGAACCAATTTCTTTATCTGCAATAAATTGACCTTCCATTTTATACGTAATGAATGTATTGTAAAGGTCCAACATATTTTCACCAGGAGGTGAGAGATTGAATGTTACCCATGTGTTATCTTTAGCAGTTCCAGGTTGTGATGGAATCTTTGCGTCAGAATATTTTCTATTAGTCACCAATTTGAACTGCATTGTCTATGATATCGAAATATGAGCGAATCTGATGAATATGCTCTGCTGGAGTAAATTCGTTTAGCTGTTCGTTCTGCATGTATTTACTTCAATAAAAATATCTATTTACTTCATTATTCTCACTCTTCTTCTTGGCATTCGTGGTGGAAGTTGTTTCTTGACATTTTCAATGAACTGTACATTCTCTTTTGTCTCAACTTCTTTCACTGGCGGGTCAGGATTCTTTGACTCGGTTTGTTTTTCAAATGAAATTCACGAACTTTGCAATAAGCTCTTGGTTCGTTATTGAAAGAACATCTGGCTTCTTTTCTTCTTGTTCTATTGACTTTTCAGTTTGAATAGAAGGTTTTATATGGGCTTCACCCTCGGTGCTATGCACCTTAATGTTGTCACTCTCTGCATTCGCTAATGGAACCTTTCTTTTTCTTACGTATATTTTACCATCTTTACTCTGACTTACATAATAGAAAGGATGTTGTATTCCTCTTGCGTCATTTAATATAATAGACTCTCGCTCTGATTTTGACAAGCTCATTTTACATCGGTTAAAGTTTTAATTTTGTTTTTTATCTGCAGTCAAATGACTCAGACAAGTCCTACGGACAAGACCCAGGGGGTCATAGATGTTGAAGCATTGAAGAAAGAAATTCGTGAGCAAATTTTATCCGAACTGAAGGAACAAAAACAAGAACAAAAGCCAGAGAGACCAAAGAGAAAACTTAGTGAAAAACAACTAGCTGCATTAGCTGCTGGAAGACAGAAGAACCCACGTTTGCTGGCGAAAAAAGCTAGAGAAGAAGCAAAAGCAAAGGAAGAACAAAAAGCTAAAGAAGCTGAAGCAAAGAAAGAGTAAATGGTTTATTTTTATCCGAATTAAATGTATAGACAAATACCTTTAACTGTTGCGTTCAGTAGTGAAAACCCTGACGTCAAAATAAAGGGGAACAGAGTAACGTTTAAGTTTCCAACAGACTGGATTGTGAACATAAATGAAGAGAAGTACATTGGCATAACATCTATGTATATAACACGTGCTTTCAGAAAGGTTGACTTTATACTTCAAGTCGAGATAGAAAATGACGAACAGTCTTTAAGCGCCCAAAACATTCACATATTCAAATACTTTAAAGACGATACAACATTGTTGCAATGTATGATTTCATTTAATGAGATGTTCGAGAAAAAGTTCAACATTGAAGTACAAACTTTACAGCCTTTACGTGAGTTTCTTGCACAACTGAAAGAAGAAGGTAGTCAGCCACAACTTATAGACTTTCATTATGAATTTAATGAAAATGAAGATGGAATTCATGACTGTCAGTTTGTTGTATTCTCACCATTCAATGAAGTCGCTAAAAAGAAAGAAAATCCATTACGTATAAGATTTCAAATCTCCGAACCAAGTGATGATTTTAAGAATGTTTTCAATTATGATGCAATGCTTCCGAGGAAAAATGAATTTTCAAAGATTGTAACACCTGGCATTTGGGATAGAAAGCAAGCTATATTATATTCAAACTTAAGTAAAGGAGTTGAAAATGAGTTCATTGGTCATACAAGAACTTCACCACTTCCTAACCCTAAATACTATAAATTAACTGGCTTCAATCGTGAGTTTTGGATAGACATGTTCTCCACTCATGACCATAAATGTCCAGTGTTCTTGCCTCCAGACCATAAGGACTGTCTCTACATTGAAGCACAACTCTTAAACTCTACCATCGCAGTATTGTAAAATCTACGCTAGCTTTATTTTTATCACGAATGACCTCATTCATGACCTCATTCATGACCTCATTGCTGACAAAAATAAATGACCTCAGAACTTCAACTTACGAATAAAGCTTGTTTTAGTCGTTATTGAAAAGTTGAACTTTTCAGCAAAGCAAGGTTGACATGACTTACATAAGTCGAATGCAATCTCTTGACCATCATAAAGTGCTTTGTAAAGTTTCATTAAACTGAACTCAGAGTCTTTGTCATATGTTCCAACAGGTATGTGAATGTTCTTATCTTCATTGTAATAGCATTGTATAGCTTCAGGAAACATTTCATTAGCGGTTAAAGCAATAACATCTTGCTTCACGCCTTTCATTCTGCAGTGAAATGCAACTTCATTTAAATCATTCGTGAGTAAGTCTATGTAGGTCTTCTTTCCACAGAAAATACTTTTATAAGCTAACTTTGTTTTCCAGGTGTTATTTCTGCAAAGTCGCTATGAAATTGACCAAGGTTCTTTCCTATAAGTTCTCTACCGTATCTCTTCTTAAACTCTGCTGCAAGCTTTGGGATGTCTTCATTATATAAGTGCATACTGTCGGTATCCTGGTAAAAGATTTGAAGTCCCATGTCCTCTGCAGTACAGAATACTTCATTCATAATACGTTTTGACATAGACAGAATATTAACACCAAGTGGACAGAAGTTAAAGTGTCTGCAAATGCTTTTCGTTAGCTTGAAAATAGTTTTATCTGAACCATCCAAACCTTCGAACTTCACTATATGGTTGTAATTTCTTATAGCATATCTTATAGCATCTTTGTCATTTACTATGGTTATTTTTGACTCAATAGGAGATAGAATAGTTTGCCATAAATGCTGTTCAGAATGAGTTTTATAATTTCTTGTAAGGGTTTTCTTCTTTCTTATACTTTAACCTTAACTCAAACAACTTCTTTACTTCATCTCTTATTCTCATATCTCTGTTCCATCGTAATAGTATCCTTGCAACACTTCACATTTGACACTTGATATTTTATGAGGTCTTGTAATGTTATATGGTCAACATACATGAGACAGCAAGTGTTTGAACTTCTTGGAACGTTAAGTTCTGGATTTAGTTCAGGGTCGCAAACTATTAAATGAAAGTGTCTGGGTATACCAATCTCTGTTATCTTAATGAGAACAAAGAAGCCAGACATAAACTTTTCACCAATGGGTTCCTTTTGGTCATCATCGAATAAATGTCTCATGAGATACTCTGTGTTTAACATTTCTTCCTTCAATACTTTTGGAATACCTTCTAAAGTATAAAGTCTTGCTATAGCTGAAGGATATAATGAAACAGTGTCGAAGTCAGCAATGAGTTTCTTTTTGCTCTTTTGTTTCATGTTATCTGACAACATACATCTTTCCACCTTGAATGCATCTCGAAATAAATTCTCTTGGTTTATTTGAGAGGTCATAAAGATTTCCATTCGGGAAGTATACTCTGTTCTCAAACAATTTGTTAGCAATTGAACAAATACTAACGTAGTCATAAACGTTTAAATCAAACTCTTTCAATAAGTCATTGCGGAACTTTACAAAACCTTCTCTTAAAATTCTTACATCTTGTTTGCAGTAAAACGTGCTATATTTTTCTAAGTCGAAGTGGTTTTCATCTATTCTGCAACCTTTGATGGAAATCTATGTTCTTCATAAATGTATCTGCATCATGGATAAACTTACATGCTTCAGAAATGACACCAGTTCTGTTGTCATTTGCTAACAAAACACTGCTGTAGTAGTTATATGGAAATACTTCTTTCGGTCCTGTTTGTAAGTTAAACATAGCAGGAAATAGTTTAAGCTTCTTATTTATAACACTGTAAGAGTCTTTTATAATAATTGCCCGTCCTTTATATAAGCCAGTTATTTGCATTGTTCGTGAACCTTTAATGATGGGAGTTCCTTTCACTTCTGTCATGTGTTTAAGATGAAGTTTATGTCATAACTGAGGTTGTGAAAAATATATTAAACTCTTGTCAGGAGTCTTTCCAAAAATTCTGTTGCACAGTTTTGACCCCAAATGCTTTCACTCACTGAACCATCTTCACTGTCATAACAGATG